AAAAAAAGAGCTGTTTTGAGCTTTTTTTAACGGGGGGGGGGAATAACCCTATAAAGGTGAAAAAAGGACCAAAAGGACTGCTCTGCCAGCATCCTTTGAGGGCTTGTTGAGATGATGTGTCTCTTGAGACAGAGAAATGACGAAAAAGAGGGAAGGAGAGACACACCTCGATGGGCTTTATTAGGGTCAGACCACGGTGGTTTGTTTTGTCAGTGTTTAATTGTGTTTGGTTTTTTAAGCTTTGCTGAGTCTCATGGTGGTTTAGGTCTGGTCATGGAGCCCAAGGTTGGGGGTTCGAATCCCCCACGGTGTGCCTCCCGGGGGGGGGAGAAGAGCCAGCCTGGGGTGGCCTTGAGCCAAAGCAGCAACCGTCCCAGAAGAAGGGAAAGGGGGAACCCCGTCGGAGGACTCGCTCTGCCTAGAAAACCCCCAAAAGGGTCGCCATCCGTCAGAAGTGGTGTCCTGCAATGTCTCCGTTTCGTGTTCTGTTTTTCAGTTTCCACTTTTGTAGGGGGGCCTCTTTGCGAAGCTTCAGGGACACACACACACACACACACGTTCTGTTTGGGTCCAACCCCGTCCTCTTCCCTTGGAGGCGAAAGAGGCCTCGGGCAGCCTGGCCCTGGAGGGGGGTGCCCCCCCAGCCGCCTCCTGCGTCTTTTGGGTCCGGGCCCCTTCCCGAGCCCCCCGCCCCCTGTGGGACTTAATGGCCAGCCTGCTGCATCTCGCCCCCCCCCTTTTTCCTTTCGCTTCCCCGCTAACGGCTCCCCCATTGCCTTTTCCCAGGCGAAGGCCAGGCAGGGCTTAGCGAGGCGGAGAGCGCAGTGGACGACGGCGTGCTTGCGTTCCTGTTCGGCGAGGAAGGAAGGAGGAGCGTGGAGCTTAGCTTAGATGGAGGAGGACAGAGAGACCAGGAAGACGAAGAGGAAGAGTGCGAGCTCGTGGCTCTTTCTGCGTCGAGCTGCTGCTGAATGCTGCACAGGGGCCCCCATGGCCCCGCAAGGGGAGGGAGACGAAGGTCTAATGGGGGTCATCCCTCCCCAGCTGCTTTGTTTTCTCACTGTTAAAATAGGTCCCCCCACGGAGCATCTGCTCGGTGTGGTAAGGTGGCGAAGTTAGGCTAGGAAACTGGGGGCCCTCTGGGGGCCCGTCCTCCCCTCTGACCGTTGGCCAGGCGGGCGAGGGGACCGGAGCTGATGGGGAGCATAGGCCAAGGGCCGCCCTCCAGGGGTCACCCACCCCAAGGCCCCGTCCAGCTTGGGTGGCTTCCTTCACAAAGGGCGAACCAGGCGCCTGGCTCTGGCGCTCTCCGCAGGGCTTGACTCTCTTCTGCAGATCCTCTCCCGATTACGGGAAGCTTTCTTCTGCTCCCGGCCATGTTGTGCAGAGAGAGAGAGAGAGAGATCAGGAAGGAGGCCCCCACCTGCCAGGGGGGTGTGTGTGCATTATTTCCTCCCAGTTTCATGGCTGCCTGTTCCGAAATGAGCTCACACACCCATCAGAATACCCCACGGCTGCCAGAAGGCGGGACAGGCGAGCGGGCACTGGCCGGGTCCTTGATGGGAGCCTGTGGGCTTGGCGCCTGCCCCTCTTCTGCTCCGGGCTTCTCCAGGATTCAGAGGTTGCCCTGCCTCGTGGTGTGGCACCAGGCTGTTTCAGTGGTGCTTTCGAAAACGTGCCACAGCCTTGTGTGTGTGTAGGGGGTGGGATTCGTCTCTGTGTGTGTGTTTCTGTGTTTAGGCAGAAGAACATCATCTCCTCTGTGGGCTCCCGACAGATTATCGCCACCGCTGTGCTTAATCGTTGCTATTAGCCCCGGCTGATGCAAGCAGCCGCCCATTGGGCCCCGTCAAGAGCTGTCAGTGTGGGCTTGAGAAGCAATTACAGGAAGGGCCACTCTCCGCGTGCCTGCTCCGCCATCTCTCCTGGGCCCTGCGAGTGCTCCTAGTGCCGCCGCCCACACCCCACCGTGCACATCCCCAGGCGGTGCCCCCTGTTCTCCTCCCATTCACCGTTGGAGAGGAACTGTTTGAGTGTTAGGTTTGAGTTGAAGAGCAAAATAAAATCTCTTTTCCCCTTCTCTTTTGGCAATCAACCCGCCTTTTTATTTTAGAGGCATCGCTGTTGAGCTGATGACTTGAGCCGGTCCTCTCCTGAGCGAGCCCAGAAAGAGCCGCCCGCCCGCAGAGTTTTGCATTAAGCGACGGTGGCGTCTCCGCTCCCCTCCTGCCCAAAGGCTCGGCTGAGAGGGGCTCTGGATCAGCCCTCCCGGCCTGAAAAGTTTTGCTCTGCAGTCAGAAGACAGCTTTGCAAATTCGGGCCACCCTGGCATTCCCAGGAGGCTGGCTTGGGGTCCCTTCAGGGATGGGGGTGTGTGTGTCTCCCCGATCTAACACAACAGGCAACTCCGGCAGCTGCAGCTCCTTGCAGGTCAAAGGAGGGAGGGGGTGCAGGGGATGCCCCCGTCCTTACAGCCAGAAGAGGTTCCGGGCCCCAGGCACCTCCAGGGGACTCAGCCGGTTCTTTGAAGGCAAGCCATGCCCGGCTGCCCCAAGCCCGTTCTGGGCCCCGAAGTGGTCTTTCCTCCAAGCCAGCAGTGGCCTTCCAGTTTTTAAGCCAGGGGCAGCTTGTAAACCTGCCCAAATGGGAAGGACCGACCACGGGCTCTCAGGGGGCTGCCGGCCCTCGGCACGGACGGATGGACGGGGCAAGGTTTGGAAGAGATTGATGAAAACACTTAGGTGGAAGCAAGGAAGCCCCCGGGAAAAGCTGATTCAGGCTTGGGGGGGCTCATCAACCCTTTGTAGGGGCTGCCCCCCATGTGCTCCAGAACTGTGGCCACTATTGTGGCCTGGGAAGCTGCCGGAGGGTTCCCAGGGACCAGCCGGACGAGGAAGGAGGTCGGCAGAAGCCAGGAAGCGGGCTTTAAGGCAAATGGCCTCACCGGAAGAGCGGCCGCTGAGCGTGGGGCCCCGAGCCAGGCTGCGAGCGAGCCGTTCCTTCCTCAGTTTCACCAAGGGGCCTGCAGTCAGTCGACGCTTCGGTTGTCCCCATTGGTACGTCTAATGAGAGCTGTCGGGACTCACCTACGGAGAGGAAGGGAAATTGAATTCAGAGCAGAGCATCCGGCTGGCCTGTTGCTTCAATGGGGCTCCCGTTTCTGCAGCCGGTGCAAAATTTTACTCTGCAGGTTGCTGATGCTCCTGGCGACCTTGCTTTTTGCCTTCCCGACTTTTCCTGTGGCTTCTCCTGTCTCTTTTTAACCCTCCCTTACATCACAAAATCTGTTGAAGAGGGGAGAGCCTTTGGGTCAGGATGGATTTGTTTGAAATCCCGATTTGAATTATAAAAATTCGGAACTTGACCATTGAGATCTGTGAAAACATCTTTTTTTTTTTAATCATGATATAAGTCAATTTGATTGTTATCAAATTGTGGGTTTTTGTTTCCCCCACCCCTTTGGTTGATAGAATTTGGCCCGCTTTGCGTGTGCCACCGAGGCCACAAGCCAGCCCCAGCAAGAGAGTCCAGCTGCCATTTCGCCTTGTAAACGGGTTCGGTGAAAAGCCGAGCGGGTTTTCTCGCTCGTTCTGTGCTCCCTCTTCTGTTTTCCGAAGGAGCCTATGTACCAGGCGGGAATCCCCAAAGGGCGCCGGATTGCCCAGCTGGCCGGGAAATCAGGTAGCTGGGCTGGCGATGGCGATGGCCTTTGCCCACAGGAGAGCGGTCGTCGGCCATGTTTGCCAAGATGTTTTTTTCCTCCCATGTGTGGGTTTTGGGGTTGTGTGTCGTGCCCATTGTGTTAGGGGTTAATCCAGCGTGCCGTGGCTGAACCACTCGTTAACCAAACTAGAGTATAGCTTGGAACTGGTGGGCAACTCGGTTTGCGTCTCTGCTTGCAGGGCCCAGAGGTTGGGAGTTCAATTCCTGCATGGGGCCTCCTTGACAGGCTGGACTAGATAGTCCTTAGGGGTCCCTTCCAGGTCTGCCTTTCCAAGAAGACTCTTATTACTTATTAATGGGATGATTGATCATTCATCTCTGTCTCTCTCTCTGCCACCAGAAGGACTGTCAGATCGAAGCAGCAAGAAGCAGGCAGCGCCTGGCCTTGCCGGCCTTGCGCTCTTTTAAAGTCTAAAGGAGGGGAGGGAAAGCACTAAAAGAAAAAAAGCAGCAGGGAGGGAAGAGGAAAAACACAGGGAACACCAGACGCGGGTTCTGGGTGCTCCAAGGCTCCTCCTCCACCAGGCGGCCGGCCGGCTTTTCAAGAGCGGGGTGCCCGCGGCCCTGGTTCCCTCTTCTGCCAAGTCATTTGCATAAATTTTGGGGACTGGGGGCAGGGAATCCCAGCTGGGTGTGGCCCCTTTGCTCCTGGCAGGGTGGGAGGGTTTTTTTCCTGTCTTGCCTTAAAGTACGTTTGTGTTCCTTTAAGGGATTTTGAGGGGGGAGGCAGTGCACCCTAAGTTGCACCCCGGTCTGCCAGCCGGGCCTCCCCTGCTCAGATCTGTGGACTGTGACCGGGTGTCCAGTGGCATTGTGGTGGTGGTGGTGGGGTGTTTCTCGTGGGCGGCAGGCACGCGGACCCCTGTTTTGAACCCAGCTCAGCACGGAGCATTCTGGAAAGGGTTCGAGAACGCCCGGCTCCAGAGCCTTCGGTGACCCATCCGCTCTGCCGCGTGTGTGTGCGTGCCTGCCTGCAGAGGAGGAGAGGAGATGCATCCGCAGGGGAAGGGGGAGAACCCGCCAGCAAGAGCGCTGAATCACTCGGCATGGGGGCCCAGTGTTACGGGGGGGGGGGGGAAGAGAGAGAGAGAGATGGAGAGAGAGAGGAGTCATGAAGCCTCCTCCCATGGATCAGAGGGAGTCAGAACTCGGAGGAGAAAGGGGCCTTCTATCCTCCACAAAACAGTTACATAAACATTGATGTCGCTTGGCCTAATCGGAGAGAAAGCCTGGCTTTTTATTCTCCTTCCTCGGGCGTTAAAAGCTTTGCCAGAAGCAGAGGCTGGAAGGGGGGAAAGTGACTGAAGATGATGCTCGGGGTGTGTGTGTGTTTCTTTCCCCTTGCAGGTGAAGGGAAACCTGTGGCCTTGAGCACATCCATTATCCTTCCCCTCTCTTCAGCCTCCCCTTTTAAAAAAAGGTGCTCAGTCAGCAGCCAGGGCTTTAACCCTCTCCAAAATCATAATGCAATGTGGTTTTGATTGGGGGGGGTGGATTTCAGATGTCACAGGAGGGTGCCGTTTCTTTAAGAGAGGTTCCTCATCGTTGTCTTAGAGATGCTTTGCTGGAAGGGACACCCAAAGATCATCCAGCCCGGCCCCTCTCAAGGAGGCCCCGTATCATCCAGCCCAGCCCCTCTCAAGGAGGCTCCGTGGAGGCATTCAAACTCCCAACCTCTGGCTCCGCCGCCAGAGACCGCCACCCCCCCCACCCCTCAAGCGATCCAGCGTGTTCGTAAGATAAGAGCAAGGTCTAAATGGAGTTAAACCCTATCTCTTTTCTTGATTGTTCCAGTTTAAATGGTCTTGGAGGAAGCAGAAGCCTTTGGGTTTTCTGGGTGGGTTGTTTTTTTCCTGCATGATGTCCCATTTTTATTTTATGCATGTGATGCCTCCCTGTCTCACGCCTATTAGAGAGGTTGGGCGCGCGGTGATTTATGCGGGTCTTCTCCCTCTTGGTTTGATTTTCACAACACACACACACACCATGGAAAAGGAAAGATTTGAGTTACCCAATAAGCTTTTCTCCGGTTGTTGGGGGGCATCGGGGGGGGGGCCCTGCCCCTAGGCCCGTCTGCAATTTATGCCCATCAATGGAGGTGGGAGACCTTCCTCGTTTCCTCCTCTCCGTTCCAGGATGGAGGTGGGGGGTTGGAGGAAAGTGCCCGGCTCCTTCTGGACTCGGTGACCGGAGGGGGGGGCGCCATTGTACTGATCTGCCTCTCGTCGTGCCTGTTTGCACGGCCTGCTCCGGACACGCTTGCTTTTTGCCCTCCCCGTGGGCCAAGAATGTGGTCCGTATGTGGTCCGGAAAGGGCAAGTGGCTTGCAGTGCAAGGATTAGGAGGGAAGCTGGCTGAAAACCTTCAGAATCTGTCACAACACCAGCCACCCTCCTGCTCTCACTGAAAGATTGGGGGATGTGGTGGTGGTGGTGGTTGGTTTGTTGTTGTTGTTGTTGTTGTTGTTTTGTTGTTGTTTGGCTCAGAAGCCTCCAGAGAAATTCTGGGGTTTTTCTTCGCTAAAGAAGCGCAGGTCCTGAGCGATGGCCGGGGCTCGGCCCGGAGGCCTCCCTCCTTGCCCAGGCCTTTCTCGGCACATGGACGGAGGCTCTGCTTGCACGCTGGGCAAATAAGTCCATGCGCCACCCTGCTCTCAATGTCAAAGCTTTCTCTTCTTGGAGCAGAGAAATGGGTCGTGGTGCAACCTTGCTGTGTCACGTTGGGTTGATTTTTCCAAAATAATCACGCACGATAGCCCCTTGAGTGGTGGTGATTTTGGACACCTTGATTTTTTTTGGGGGGGGGGAGGTTTCCTGGCGCAGCCAGCCCACGCTCTCCCCTTCCCCGGGGAGGGCGGCCGATGACGCCAGGCCGCAAGCTGGGGGATTGGCGTGACGTTCGGCTCCCGAGCAGGTGAGCTGTGGCACCCGTCCTCCGGCAGCCAGAGATGAGGCATCCTTGCGCGCTCGCGCGTCCGTCCTTCCCTCGCTCTGCCGTTGGACCGCTGAGTCATCCGGGCTTGAAAAGCCCCGACATGTCGTGTTCTCTGTGTGCAAAAATTACCTGGGCAGGATCCAGTGGGAGGGAGGGCGTTCGGGAAGGGCACCATCCGCTAAGCATGGCTTTTGCCAAATGCTCCAAGGTGTGTGTATGTGTTTTTTTCTCTCTGTGTGTGTGTGTGTGTTTCCTCTCCCCCCCCTTTTTTTTTTTTGCTCTGCTGAGCTGAGCAGCTGCTGTTCAAGCCTTTTCAGAGAAAAGCTTGCTTTTGCAAATCGTCAAATCCTCCCGCGTCTCGCCAGAGGCAAACCTCTCTGGAAATCAAGAAAGAAAAGCACTTCAGTTTTTATTTTTCATGGTTCCTTTTTCGGGGTGGGGGTGGTGGAGAGCTTAGGGTTGGATCCTCTCCCAGAAAAATCAGGGTCCTCACTCAAGAGAGGTGGGGGTGGGGGAGAGGACAAAGGAAAAGGGACGGCCGTCCAGAAGAGCATGTTTTGCG